ACAACAAAAAAAGTATATTTAAATGCTTGAAATATTTTGAATTTGTTATTAAAAACACTTCAGTTACTATAATGATTCATATATATAGGCAGGCACTTCTGAAGATCTTTGTATGAGTTGTTCTGTGACATATGCTTTAGAAAGCAAAACCATCAATTCTTGTCAATATGAACATGATCTGTAGTTCTGAAAAGATCAGTCCTCATGAAATGCATAAAATTGACATGCTTATCTTGAACTATTTCTCTTCTACCTTTTCATTGTCTTTGTTAGGGATATAAAAATAAGAAACAACTCAACCCTGTAGTTAAGGAGCAGTTTTATTACATACAGATTTGTTCCACCTTTCAACTTTACTGCTGAGTAGTGAGAGAGAAAAGCAAGAGATCATATAGTGATAACCCAGTAGATACCAAGCTTTCTACTAAATCACCTGGAGACAGGTTCTGTCCGGCTTAAGACTGTTGGGATTTGTCTACAGAGTATTTAGATATTAGGTAAAGCAACACAAAGAAAAGTATGTGCCTGAGGTCATGGTGTAACAATCATAACTATAATAAGCATGAACTTGTGTCATACTTTGTGTCACTAGTTTGGGAAGAAGCATTAAGTATCCTGCCATTGAAAAATTAAGTTCATTGCTGGTATTTTTTAAGTCATTAAAAGATGATGCTGCAACTTACTGCAGTTTGCACGGTTGTGCTTTCATACATGCTACTTGTGTTCTGTTAGTACCAGCAGTCATGTATAATGAAGGATTTCTTCAGCAGAAGACCCCCTCAAATCCATTCAGTAGCCCCAGCCTTAATGGTTAGACCAGATCAAGGCAGTAAATGAATTCTAACATTTATATTAGCTCAAATACAATTATTTTTGCTATTTGTAATAGCTTAAGAGAGTACTTTTGTGTCCTAATTAAATATGCAAATAAAGTCATTACTTCTGACTTTTTTTCATTTCCGCAAATGTACTGAGTCATTTTTGACTTGTTTGCTTGAGGCATGTAAGATTATAGTTTAGGCAGAAGGAGGAGTATATGAAGATTACTCTTCTGTCTGTATTTAATAGCAGAACTATTTATTTATATGTTTTCTTAAGACCTGATTGTAGTAATAGTGAAAAAAATACTGAAACTGCTGAGAAAAGCTTAATGATCATATTGAAAGAGGGTGTGTGCATAGCCTTTTGTCGATCTCTACACATTATTAAAAATTCCTGCTTTCAACACATAACAAAGAATATTGTCTATACTTTAGTAGCCGGGCTTTGAAACAGCACCTTTTTATTTTCTAATTTAGAACATCTGAAGAAATATCAAAAATGAGTCCTCTGGACTCAGTATAGAGCAAGAGCTGAGTGGTTGGAGTGTTAAACTTCGGTTCCAGTGTGTTAGTCATCTGTTGCTTTGCTTCAGTCATGTGTTTTGAGCAGGCAATTTAGTTCCTGTGTTTTCAGAAATAATTTTTTAAATGTCTGTAGCTCATGGTGTTACGGGAAGATACACATTGAGGATTGCAGAGAATGTCAGCAGACTTGCTGAAGATGCGTTTCACTCCTGCACCCAGATAATTAATAAAAATGTTGGTCATGGCTGGCCCAAGAATTGAGCCCTGGGGAACATGGCTGGCAACTGGCTGCCAGCCAGATGTAGCCCCATTCACTGCAACGCTTTGAGCTCTATCACTGAGCCACCCAGTGGGGCGTTAACCTGTTTATCTTGCTGTTGGACCATTTGTTCATAAGGATGCCGTGCAGGACAGTATCAAAGGCCTTAGTAAAATCCAGAAAGATTACATCTGCTGCCTTCCCTTCATCCAGTATGCGGTGACCTTATCACAGAAGGATATCAGATTACTAAGGCAGGACTTTCCCTTGACGAACTGTCACTGTGTCTGATAATAGCTTTGTTCTTTAGCTGCCTTTCAGCATCCCCCAGGATAAGCTTCTCCATAACTTTTGCAAGGACTGAGGTTAGACTAATATGTCTGTAGTTTCCCAGGTCTTCTCTCAGGCCCTTTCAGTAGATGGGTGTACTGGTGGCTGGCTTCCAGTCAGCAGGGATCTCCCCAGGCTCCCATGACCTTTGGTAAATTGTTGAGAGGGGTCACACTGTAACGTCTGATAATTCCTTTGGCATTTTGGGATGAACCCTATCAGGCCCCAACAACTTATGAATGTTGAGCTGATACAACTGTTCTTTACAATCTCCATGACCACTGAAAGCAACTCACTGCTTTCCTAGTCCTGGTCCTCAAGTCTGAGAACCAGGCAGCACATATGTATCAGTACTATTAAATATTGAGGCAAGAAAGGCATTAAATGCCTCCACATTTTCCTTATCTGTACTTGTTACGTTATCCATTTCAGGTACCAGTCCAGTGTTTTCCTTTGTCTTCCTCTTGTTTTGACATACTTGAAAATGCATGTTTTGTTGTCTCACTCCACAGTGTGGCTACTGTCGACTCAAGCTGAGCTTTGACCTTTCTTGTTTTCTCCCTGTGAATGAGAACTGCAGCTCCGTACTCTCCCTGTGAAGCCAGACTTGGCTTCTATAAGTCTTGGATTTTATGCCCTAGTTTCAGGAGTTATTCCCTGTTCAGCCCGGATGGTTTTCTATTCCACTCAACTTCACTTGCAGCACAATGGTATTCCTGCTCCTAAGCTCTTAAAATGTGTTTCTTGAAAAGTGACTAAGTCTTGTGAGATACTGAATGCTTTGGAGCACGTTTTCAGGGGACACTGCTCACTAGCTCTCTGAAAAGCTTGAAGTCTGCTCTCTTAAAGTCCAGGATGGCAATTCTGTTAGACTTTTTTCTCCTCACACCAAAAATTTTGAACTGAGCTATTTCACGATCTCTGTGGCCAAGACAGCCACCTACCATCACCTCTCCCACAACGCCTTCCCAGTTTTCAAGGAACGGATCTGGGAGGGCACCTTTCTTAGTTGGCTCACACAGTACTTGTTACAGAAAGTTATCTTCAACATGCTTTTATGATATTTGTAGTTTATGTCTGAGAAGTTAGAATTTCCCTCAGGATCAGTTGCCCTTAAGATTTCCCCTAATTTCCTATAAAATTTGCCATCCTTTCCAGCGTCCTGGGTGAGCAGTTGATGGTGGACACCTCACTTACCTATTTTATCTGTCCCTTTAATCCTTACCCAGAAGCTCTTTACCACGTTATCCCGAACAGCAAGGGTTGTACAGTCTAACCTCTCTGTTACCTGCAGTGCAACACCTCGTCTGCCCTGACTGTCAGTCAGGAGGCTCGTCCCACCAAGTCTCGTTAACTAGTGAAAGCAGCTATGGGAAAGGAACGAAGCTTAGAGTTCGTATTTTGTTCCTCCTACTGCGTAAACCAATATACAAGCATTTCAGATGTGCTTCTGAGCCTGCAGCACTCCCTGGAGCAGCATACATGCTCCCATTAGCCTCGCCACCTTCAGACGGTGCCGTACCATTCGTTGGCTTAAGTTCAGGGTACCTAACAGTATCCCTCTCCCCCATCAATCCTCGGTTAAAGCCCTATCAACAGGTTATATATGGCCTGTCTGTAACAGCCCATTAACAAATGAGTGTTGTGTATGAACTGTACAAATCTTATTTTTGGCCAGATTACTACATCACTGAAAATAAGTAACATAGCGGCCTTGCAGTCCCGTTCGTTTCTAGATACTGCACTTACAGGACACAAGGAGGAGGAGGGCAAGTGTGAGCTTGTAATCATTCAGGTAAAACATGAGGTCATTTAATACTTGTTGATTATTCCTAAGAATCTGCTGTCTTACTGGAACTGTCTCAACACTGCTCTCTAAAGTCCTATCCAATAGCTTGACCACTGAGCAGAGGGGAGTTCTTGTGTTTTTCTTATAATTGCACTACTGATGAGTTTTTACAATTTTGGTCAAATTTACATTTTCTCTTGGTAAAGAGGAAGTGCTTTAATTTCCATGGTATTAGTGTTCGTATTAGTTTGTGTACCCTGAAATGTAAAATGCTCTGTGCAAAAACTTGCTGAAAAGAAGTAAAAATGTTTACTTTACCCACTGCATTGCAAATTTTTACATTCTTTAAGGCAATTGAATGCATCTATTCTGAATCTGAAAAGGCAAATAATTCACCAGTAAAATCTGATGTTTTTCATTTCTCTTTTAAAGCTGTTTGTTTTCATTCTATGTTTTTAAGTTGGTCATTGGGGTTACTACATTGAGAATTACATTTTCAAGGTACTCTGGCAAAATTGATGTAACATTTTAGAGATTTTTCCATTCAAAAAATTTTGATGTTCTGTTTTCTGCTTGTGAAATCAAGTGACAGTGGAAAAACCTGCAGTAATCTGGTTCATATGATACACAATGGAGAAGTTTGTTGCAGTAGGAAATGGATTTTCAGTAGAATGTCGTCCACATAGCATACATTAAAACTCTCTTACAAGTTCTCTACAGTATCTTGATGAAAGCCTTTGTTAAAGCTTCGTGTTTTAAATGAGGAAGAGCAGGTCATTAGGGAAGCATGGGTGGGAATTCCAGATATTTGGGACCATTCTGGAATAAAACAAGAAGACAGAAACAGAAGGAAGATACGATGAAGATCAATTAAAGAACTTTAAAACAAGTTGCAAGAATTTTGTAAGAGAGGGAGAAGAGTCATGAAAGCAAAACTTGAAAATAATCGAGATGGTGTTTTGTAAGTTTGAAAGTAAGGACAAGAATTTTAATTTTTTGAGAGAGAAGTGCAAAGAGTAATTGAAGGTTAGAAGACAAGTGTAGTCACACCTTCCCAAGTAGGAAATTATTTTAGTCATATCTAACAGAATGTGAAATTTTTTCTACTGAAATGTTGACTGCATGCAGAAAACTCTGGAAATGTAAGCATTTCTTAATAGTTGTAAATTAATTCCCAGTGAAGAATTTAATTCCAAGCTTATAATATACTTAAGAATAACTTGATCTATAAAGAATATAATTTTCCTCAAGTGTGGTTTCTGTAACTCCTCTCCAGGATTTGGACGCAGAAGAGCAGAAATCATCTAACAGTCTGAACTGTTTTTCCACTACTGAGCAAGTAAGTTCTACTGAAGAGGAAGAGTCTCCTAATGCAAGAAAGAAGACTAAAATGGACACAAAAATACGAACCAGTCTAACAGCCAAAGAATCGTTTTCCACAGACAGTATAAATTCACATTCACGCAAAAGTACACCAGATACTGCAGCATACACAGATGACAGTAAAATAGTAGACACAGAAAGTGAGCCAGAAGAAGGTGAAATTACGGATACTGAACATGAAGTCTACAGCAGTGAAGATGAAGTAACAAGTGAAGAAACCAGTGATTCAGAAGACTCAGAAAATGAAGGTGAATTGTACCTTTTGTGTATGATATTACTGTATTTTTCCAAGAACCCATTAAGAAAAAAATACAGAACAGTTTGGATAACTAAAAAACAAATAAAAGCATCTTACTTGAGATACTTAAGTTTAAAAGTGCTGTATGTTAGTTGTATGTTTCTTTCTTTTCACTTGCCCTGTAGTTGGAACTAAGTAGTGATGTTTCCCTAAAAACTGTTAGGGGTATAATTTTCTGGGCTTGTGGAAAACTCAGTGGTAGAATAAATGTTTTTACATTAGGAAAGTGTCATGAGAAAAAGTTTCCTGACTTTTAAAATAAAGATTCTAGTACAAAGCTCACAGAAATTCTGTTTATTAGCTAATATATAGTATTTCATAAAATTATCTAGGCTGGAAAAGACCTTCAAGACCAAGTCAAGCCATCAGTCTGTGCTACCATGTCCCATAACTAAATTCTGTTCCTGCTGCTGTTCATAAGCAATCATGTATAATTCAGTGTAAGATTAAATCCATTGTGGTGAAAAGGGTTACTCAGTAGGATTTGAAATCGTATCTTGTATTTATTCCAGTGCAACATGTGAGAAGTTGGGATAGAGAGGAAACGTATGCTTTTTCGTATCAAAGAAAGTGTTGTCTAAAGTTCTTAAGACCTCCTCAAGAATTTAATAGTTTCTTGAAGAAAAAAAAAAATGGTGAAAAAGTTAATGCAGACAAAACAACTGGTGCAACGTACCTGCAAAGGATATCCTAAATCACAAAATGAAATACAAACTATAGTAGTTAGGAGTCTGTACTGCAGCCTGGACCATGCTCACAGTTTGTTTCTTCTGCTTTTATTCTTTCACTTACTCAGCTACCCTGATTATGATCAATTAATGCCAGTTGAAATGCCTGAATGCCTGATACTAGCAAGTATATAAACTCCCCAGTAATTCCAGAGTAATAAAAATGAGATTTTTTCTGTCCTCCTGCCTTTTGAGCAAGTGTCTTCCCATCTTGCCCATGTATTTCTACCTGAAACTGTCGGAGGCTGTTGATCCAAATGGACATTCAAGACAGAATTCATACCAGCTGTTGGAATATTAACAGATACTTATGCAAAAGAGAATATATATACATCTGTATGCTCATGTATTATGTCTTATCTGTGTTGATGTTTTGTGCTAATAAGAGTAAAAATTAATAACAGTATGTTTGACAGAAATTATCAAATACAAAGTTTTAAGTGCATGGGGTTTGTCATGTGGCCTTTTCTCAAAGTAAAAGAGTATTCAGTCAGTCACTCTAATCAGTTTTGACTAGTAGTCCATGCAATTATAGAATGTTAGTAAATTCCATGAATTTATTTATATGTTATTTCTGTAAAAACCACCTGTTTACATGTAAGCAATGGGAATTAGTAAAGTATTTTTGGATTGATAGTTTAGTGTGGAGCTGCAAAACCTTTGAAACAGCAATTTCATCAAAGTTTTCTCTCAGATGTGTTTATATTTATTTTTCTGAATGTTGCATACAATTCAGCTAGATAATTGCAGAATGTATATCAGTTATTTTAAAAATATGAAACATAGGAGTAAAACTGTAACTTGTTGTTAGTAACTTTTTTCTTTTTTTTTAATTTATAGATGAAGAAAAGATTTGGCCTCCTTGTATCAGAGTCATTGTAATAAGATCACCAGTTCTACAGACTGGATCACTTTATATTATCACAGCTGTGAAACCTGCTACCATTGGAAGGTAAAACCAAATGGAATTTGTTACCTATATCTGAAACTATACCTGGCTTTGAAAGTAACATAAGCCATGCAAGGTTGTTTGTCCCTATTGTTCATGCTAGTCCCCCTAGCCTGCAGCAATTGTGAGATTTTCTGACTTGGGTTGACTGACAGCAAGAAACTTCAGTCACATTACGTAATGTTGCGTTTCCTGGGATAACAGCATACATATTTAATATAGCTCAGTGGTTGTGATTTCTTTTGTTACTGATAACTTTAGCCTTTGTCTAAATCCTAATGGCAGCGTAATAACTGGAAGTCAAAAAAGAGCCTTTTTTCTCTGGGCAACTAAGATAACTCATTCAGAAATTCAGGATTACCAGAAAGTATATATTGTGCTTCTCATGCAAATTCCAGTAAGGTTGATTCACCACTTTGAAATAGTAAGTTACGATTGTTGCTACCCAATATGCATTCTTTCAGTTCTGATATTAAAAGTAAAATAAAACTGGTTTGTTCATTGTGGATGATGAATGAATGCTTTCTTACTGAAATGTTCACTGCCTAATTTATAAGATGAAAGCACGAGGCAAGTCTCCACATTGTGTATATTGTAACATACTACTTCTGTGTCTGTAAAGGTCTAAGATATTGCAGAAGGGAAACACAGTATTACGGCTCAGCTGAAATGTGTTTTGAAAGCCATTATTAAAACTATTAAAACTATTTCTAGTTTCTCATCATTTTATGTATCAACTTTCCTTTTCAGAGAAAAAGATGTTGGACACACACTTCAGATCCCTGAAGTTGGAGTCAGTAAGGTAACTCTTATTTCTGTTTGCTACAAGGGAGATAGATCTTTGTATGGATGAGGATTTAGATTTCATAGCTTTAAATATTGCCAAATGTTAATTTTTTTAATGAACTTTCAGAATGAGATGTGCTTTTAGCCACTTCTACAAAGTTAGAAAGCATACAATATTTTAATGGATTGGAATATAATGTAAACACAGTGTGATTTCTAAGTCTAGAAAAGCTAAAGTGTGTTTGTTTTTTGTTTTTTGTTTTTTGTTTTTTTGTTTGTTTTTGTTTTTTAATCGGAGTTTTAATAGTCCATGGTTCAATCCACAGCAAATAATTATTATCTTAAATTTCTTAGTTATTGAACTTGAGGAAAATGAATGGTTGCGTTAGGTATCAATTGTATGGTAAAATATCGATGTCAACTAGTTAGAAATTAGTTGTAAAAAAAAAAAAAAATCCAGTCCTTATAGCTGAGCTTAGAAGCTTAGGTTGTGTTTTATTTTTCTGTATGTTAGTTGTATGAATGTGGAAGTTATGCAGAGAGAGTTTGAAAATATAAAAATATTTTAGTGACAGATGGATTTTTTTTTGTAGTTAAGAGAGATTAAAGGTAAATTATATGCTCAGTTTTCCTAACTACTTCGACGTAGACCATAAATACAGCACTCTAAATTGAAGAAAATGTAAATTGACAGAGATGTCATCTAAACAAAAAAAGGTGATAAAAGCATCTGCAAATGCAAGTGTGAAATAAGCTTTACTATGTCTGTTCCAGATGATAGCTCTGATTAATCAGCCGTGTAACATATTTTATACTGAACAATTTCTAGACAAATTTTTTTCCTGCTATTAATGATATTTTCAGGCATGTATTTGAAGTTGGTGATACAAAGCAGCAAAAGGTTTTTTTTATTTTTCTGCAATAGTATCATTTACTTCGCTTCTTTGTATGGCTAACAATATCTACCAGTACTTCATGGGTACCTGCGTTGCTTTTAAATATGTTTCATTGAAATAACTGATCGTCTATGTAAGTTATTTCACTTTGCAGATAAGGAAGCAGAGGCATGAAGATAAATGACGTATGTCTAGAAACAAAAAGTTACTACCTGTTTATTTATCTTGAAATTTATAACTGATAGTTGTGGATCACTGTCTTTCACTTATTTTAAGGGTAAAGTGAGATTTAAAGAAATAGCACCCTGCAGGTTTGCAGATTTAGCATCTTTAGAAGAAGTTTCTGTTCATTCTGCTCAGTAAAACAGAGGTAGAATTAAAAGCATTAGCAAATAACACAGTCAATCTTTCCACCCTTACAGGAATATTCCTATTGTAAATTTATGCTAACCAGTCTACAAAATACAGTTTTGTTGTTGTTGTTTTGTTTTGTTTTTGTCTTTGTAGGCTATTCTTGCTTAAAGAATGATTATTGTGTCTTTTTTCACTACTGCAACAAAAAAGATCTTTGCTTGTCAAATTTGAAACTCACTTTTTTAGATTTGTTTTTTATTGGGAATCTTAGTTGGTTGCAGAAGTTGATACTTTAGTTTGCTTAGTGGCCATTTTTGGAGGTAATGTGTGGGTTTGTAAATTGGCTGCTATATTTCCAAGACTACGGATTTGTTTTCTCTGTTCTGTGTGGACTCGGGACCATTACCTATATGGTGTTGCAATAGATTTAAAAAATTGGTTTGTTATTATCAAAATCAAAGCAGATATAAAGAACAATAAATAATGGATAGGGATTGTGTCCTGGGCATTAAGGTGCAAGTGAAAGTGAATTACATGAAATTTACAAAAACATGGCACTTTAAGCTATTTCAGATATGAAAGACCAAGTAATCTGAAGCTGTAGATATTCAGATTTTTTATTGATTGCATTTCTTTAAGTATCTTTTTTGATGCGTTCCAGAAAGGGGAAATTTGAGATTGCTGTAACATACCTTACAAGGCAAAAATACCATGTATTTATAAGAACAGCTAAAAATGCTTTATTACTAGATCCTGCAATCCTTTAAGTAAAGTATACTTTCTATATTGAAAGTACATATATGTTTTCAGTGCTGGATCTGTTTATGGTAAAAATAGTTATATTTTTACTGGTACACTTTATCTCATGTTGTTGCAGTCCATTCATTTACATTTCAAATATATAGAATCATAAAGCATGGAATATTCTATTAACCAAACCCATTCAGTTAAGTCGCTAAAATATATTCTGAAATCTTACTTTAAAACAGCATGTAAATTGTGAAATACATGCTTAATGAGAATATTTCACTTAGTCTTCTCTTTATCAGTTCCATGCAGAAGTATATTTTGACCATGATTTGCAAAATTACGTTCTTGTGGATCAAGGCAGTCAGAATGGGACAGTCGTTAATGGAAATCAGATTCTTCAGGTAAGTATTTGCTGTAGTGTTGCAGAAAACTGTAGTCATTTTAAAATATGGTATGGCAAATCACTAGCAATGTCATTGTATGGCTTTTTTCATACAGTAATTCCTTCCTTGATTCCCTTCGGTTTTCAGGGCCACTTGTAATATTTCATGTTTGTTTTATATAATGAATTAGGAAAAATCTACTACAATTTACAGTTGCTAGAGTGAAATACATCCCATGGTTTAAATATTTGTCTGCATTTGAAAAATGAAGCTGAATCATTAGATTATGAGCAGCATTCACAAAATAGATTTGGTGTCCTGCTTTAGGAACTAATAACCATGGCTGACAAAACTTTCTTTTGCTATAGCCGAAAACAAAATGTGATCCCTACATCTTGGAGCATGGTGATGAAGTGAAGATTGGTGAAACCGTACTTTCTTTTCATATACATCCTGGCAGTGATACTTGTGATGGATGTGAACCAGGTCAAGTCAGAGCACATCTTCGCCTGGATAGGAAAAAGGAATCCTCTGGTTAGTTGTGTTATCACTGGATATGTTTTTTTTTATTATTGGTCTTTACTTTATAAACTTCTTAATCACTTCAGATAGTTTTCTTATAATTTCCTTTCTCAAAACAATAGTTTTACAGCACAAGGTACTGCATTTTCTTCTTGGTATGTATGGCTATGTATAAAAATGTTAGAACAAAATTATTTTGTGTTTGGAAAAAAAAATACATTATTACTTAGAAATTCAATCTTGTGTTTTTCCTTTTAGTTTGCCCGGCACTTAGCAAAGAAGAGAGAGAGTTAGTCAGAAGAAAAGCATTAAAACAGATACGGGTAAAATATGGCTTACAGGTGAGTTCACTGTAGAAATTAAGAGTTTGAAGGTCTACATCTGCTCTGTGATTCCTGTTTTACGCCATAAATGTCTGAACAAGGGAAGCTTTTAGAGTCTTGAGTGGTGGTTTAACTCAAGCTTGTCTTTTGTACACTAAATCTTTATAAATTTCTAAGGAGGCAGATGATAACAGGGCTTGAAAGTTCTGTTAGAATTTTCAAAAAAGATAAACAGTTCTAATATGTACAAGATTCCTCAACCATCGAGGTTAACACTTCCTAAATCATTGCTAGCCTTACTTCTGAAAGTTAGGTTTGCACTGAATTGCAGTGCACTCTTTTATTTCAAAAGGGAAAAATAATGAGCAACTTAGAAAATGATGGAAGAGAAAAACTTAAAGTTTTTTGTTAAAGTCTGGTTTGTGATATAAAAATGCCAACATGAATATATGACAATATTAGAGATTATTCTAACTATGGAGTTGCATCTAGCATTTGTAGTAAGTGTTCATGTGGAAAACAGGACACCATCATTTCACTTGAATTCTTCACCCACTGAAATAACATCAATATGGAATCTATACAAGTAGAACTTTAATCTATTTTGAAGAACTAGTTCTTGAGAAACAGGTTATGTGTTCTAACAAAAAGTCAGTTACATGGTATTTCTAGTGGCTTGTCCACATGGTTTTGTGTTTAACACGGAGAAATTGATTCTTAGTACAAAAAGAAGATATAAGAGAATCTGCTATTTTACAGACGCCATGAAATTATTTACTTTTGAAAGAGAACTATAAGTTTTCTGTTATAAGAGTAAAAATTAATAGTAAGACTTAATATAGGAATGAAGTAGGATGAAGCTGCTTTACTTTTGGAAGCAGAACAAAGAATTTAAAAACCATTTGTCTTGATGGAATTTAATCTGTTTGTAAAGAATACAGAGTATGAAGACAACAAAGCAGTGAACAACCCAAAGTACAAAGACAGAGCAGGAAAACGCAGAGAGACCATTGGCAGTGAAGGAACTTTCCAGAGAGATGATACTCCAGCTTCTGTCCATATGTAAGTGTTTGGGGGGAAAAAAGTCCTCTCTGTCCTTCTTTATGGAATCTTACAAAACAGTGATACAGTTAAGTATCAATCAGCTACTAGGATACATTTTGTTAGAATACTAGTTATCTGTATACAGTGTGTTAGGAGAACTACAAAACAATTGTTCTCACTTCTCAGTTCATACGCTATTATTTTCTCCTCACCTTCCATACAGAGTTTATCTTTTCAGTAGGATGTTTAGATCACTTTCTTGCCATCTTAGTACATCTGGTCAGTTCCTTGATTTTCCATTGACACTTTCAACAGCTTGTTTCTATTTTTTTTCTGTCCAGTCCCAACAACAGTAAAAAAAAATTCACCCACATCATTTCTTTTCAACTGTCAATATCCAGCCTATCATAGGATGTGCATGTACACTGTTAAATGACACTATTCCTTTGCTTCTTTATTTTTTTTTCTGTTTGTTTGAAACATGACCTTTTAGTCATGTTGTTGTATGTTAGTAAAAGGAAATGTGAAACAATGACATGAGATTCCAATGTGTGTTGGAATGCCTTAGTGGTGAGGTAGTGATACTTCTCATTAGTGCAGTTGATTCCCATTCATCTGTGCTGTTATCTTTTAACTCCTAAAAGTCAGCAAATAGTTCTAAGAAAGTTGGTGTTGACCAGAGTCTTAGTATAGCTTTGGTAACCACAGATATTTATGGGAAAATAAATGCAGAATCACAGAATCATCAAGGTTGGGAAAGACCTACACAATCAAGTCCAGCCATCAGCCTGACCTACCTAAGACCTTTCACTAAACCACATCCCTTAGTGCCATGTCTGCACATCACTTAAATACCTTCAGGGAAGGGGACTCCACCACTTCCCTGAGCAGCCTGTTCCAATGCTTGACCACCCTCTGTGCAAATAAATTCTTCCTAAGGTCCAATCTAAACCTACCCTGGTGCAACTTGAGACCATTTCCTCATGTCCTATCACTTGTCACCTGAAAAAAGAGACCAGTACCCTCCTCTATGCAACATCCTTTCAGGTAGCAGTAGAGAGAAATGAGTTTTCCCCTCAGCATCCTTTTCTCCAGACTAAACAACCCTAATTTATTCACTAGCTTCATTGCTCTCCTCTACACACATTTCAGCAACTCAATATCCTTTATGTAGTAACGGGCCCAGTGCTGAATGCAATATTCAAAAACTTGAGAAAGTTGGCACTAGGGCCTTTGAGGTAGCTCTTAAAAGTAGGAACAACACAATGGTTGGATTTGGGTTTCCAGAGTTGCATATGCATGCACGTTTCTGTCCTTGAATATTTGATTAGCATTTGTTTTGTATTAACTCTTGTTTATGAATTATCTTAAAATTTCTTTAAGTGAAATCAGTGACAGCAACAAGGGACACAAAATGTTGGAGAAGATGGGATGGAAAAAAGGGGAAGGCCTGGGCAAGGATGGTGGTGGCATGAAGGACCCGGTAAGTCTGTCTGGTTTTCACTTGGAGGACAAAGAAATAGAAGTGTATTTGCACTTGGAAATGTCTAATGATAAGCCATGATTCACTGGAAACATTTCAAAGTTCAGTGTGGGAGGGAATAATCTCAATAGGACTGATCACAAATCAATTTTACCTTTATCAGTGAAGTATTCTGAAACTTTACTATGATTTAATCACATTAGTGGAAAATGACACTGGTGGTTGTCAAGAAACTGAACAAGGGAAGAGAGATTAATAATTTTGTGTTTTTATACAAAGACTGTCGGAAGAAAGTTATTAATTAAAGTGGTGTGAATTCAAGACGAGCATATGATGTAATCCTTCACTTTCATCAAGACAGCTGTAGCACAAAATTCAAACTACATACTGAGCCATGAGAAAGGAAAAACTGGCAAGTCACAGATCTTTGTATTATAGATGCCGATTTAAAACCTTGGCAAAACTTTAAATGTTTGTGTATGATCTAGGTATAGAAGAGCTGTAAACAGAAGTGCTTGGGGAAGAGGGGGAATAGTATTATAAAATATTAAGTGTTTAGAATACCTAACCTGCCATTACAGTACTATTTGATGTATTTGACAGATCCACCTTCAGTTACATAAGCTGAATGCAGGTTTGGGTACAAGCAGACCGGCCTCAATTGAAGATGTTCAGATCATCCAGAGCAAGAATAAAAAGAATTGGGATAAAGCAAGAGAAAGGTTTGCTGAAAACTTCCAAGAACCTAAATCACAAAAGGATACACCTAAGATTACGCCTTGGGTTAGAGGGACCGCAGACTGAAATAATGTGGTTCCACAGCAGGGTAATTCCTGTGTGTAAATAGTTGGAAGAGAATTTATTTTTATTCTTTTTCTTTTGCTAAAGCAGAGGTTTGGTGATATGTAAAATACAGTTGTGGAAACAATTATGCTAGATTAACTCTAGTATGTTAATTGGTTTTCTGTAGTCTTCATGCTTTTATAAAAACATTTTTAATAGGAAATGAAAGAAACCTAGGGGATATTCAACTTTAAATACTTGAATGTGATTCTCATCACGAGCAGGAAGTTTCTTTAGTTTTGTTTTTAACACAAGTTCATGAAAAACCAAAACACGTTAGATTTGATAACCTTAACTTTTGAACAGCAGTTTAAAAGCAAGCTGAAACAAACACCCCACACCCCCAAAAGAACAGAACATTGTATTGCCTTTTCCTTTCTTGTATGTTTATTCATGATTGCCATGAAATGTTCAGCAAGAGGTACACGATTTCTTAAATTCATACACTTCATTACCAGTCATGTCTCAGCTTACCTTCAGTAGAAAACAAAAATTGTTTTTAATGATCCATCAGTACTGTTAAAAATAAATAAAGTGCTCCATGAAATAAACTACCAGCATTGGTGAAGAAAACAATGTTCGAAGAGACGACAGCGTGTAGCAAAATTTTCTTCTGTGAAGAATTTGCTTGAGACTTGTTCAGAAAATCTGTATCATGTCTTTTAAAAGAGGGGGTATGTTTAGAAAACTGCTGTCTGTATGTATTGTTTATTAATTTCTTGTTCTGATGCATCCATTGCTGGCAATGGAGTTTCTGCCAGGGAAAAAAAAAAACATTTTGGGTGGAAAAGGATTGCCAAACTGAAGCTAACAGCTTGGTATTTATTCACTGTTCCTAAACACAATAAATTATTGTAAATTTAAGCAGTGTGCATCTTGATACTATCTTGTGCATATGCTGGAGGCGAGCACTCTTCTACAGTGAGAAAAATTTAATCCAGATTTAGTCAAATCATAGTTCTGGTAGTTGCCCAAGACACAAGCAACTGTCAAGCACTGTGGGGTGAAACCAGGACAGGTTGCTAGCTATTTATATTAGGCTATCCTTAGGCTCTCATAATATAAAATGAAATATTCATTCAGTGATGTTTAAATCATTAAAGCACACAATTTAAATGTAAGGGACTCTTTACTTCAGTAGCATACAGTTAGTGATACAGCTACAAGTACCCTGAATGCCTGTAGTGGTATTGCTTAAAAACAGTTCACAATTCGCCTTTGTAAGCAGCTGTCTTTTTCTTGATCTTTTTCTTCTTTTTCTCTTCATCTTTTTTTTTTTATCTTTTTTTTTTGTTATAGCTAGTTATGAATTACTGTCTTACTTTGCCAATACATTCCTTTTTGTTAACAACATTCACATTTTCAACATATACCTCTTTCTAGCTGAGAAAAATAAACTGTATTAAACAGCAGTACAGTAAGTTTTGGTTTACCAAGTATCTAAAAAGGGACTGATGCTACTAGGAAAAAAAAACAAGAGCCTGCAGAAACAAAGGGTTTGCTTATACTTTTTTGTTGATGCTGTTAATTTGTTTGTTTTAAAAATGACCTCTATGGTCCCGATAGTAAATCAAACTACAAATCTTAATTTGAAGGGATAAAAACACATTTTGTATGTATATCACTAGGAACTTTAGCATTCATTCTCCCCAGTTATTCAAGTTACAGCTCTAAGAAGTCAATCACTGGTTCATTGCTACCATGCAAAAAAAAAAAATGCAATGTTGAAAGATTTAACTTTAAAGTTTGTATCTCAAAAAGTTTGTGAAGTAAGATTTAATTTGCTCTGAGAGAGGTACACTCATGCAGTCAAGCATGGTCTGCTTTTGGTACTGCAGCTTCCTCTTTTAACAATTCCGTATAAAGGGTCGAAGCTTAGTCTCGGTTTAGTGTTGGCATGAGAAATCCCATTAGCTCTTGGTGCTGCCTGGGAAAACAGAAAAAGCAGTTCCATTAATACAAAGCACTGCTAACAAAACAACTGGAAATAAGGTATGACTAATCCTCATCAAGCAGTTGTGTAGCTTTATTGAGAAGACTTTTATTGAGCTAAGTAAGGCTCTTCCTCCCCTACTTGTCACCCTTTAGTAAGCTTAAGAAAAATGGAAGGTGGAAGCCCTCAGTGGGATGCAAATGTTATGTGCAAATGCAGTACTGCTTTCCCTCATGTCAGGAGGAGAGCATGAGCTGCCTTTGCACTATTATAATGTTGGAGGCCATAACCAGTAAGATACAGCATGAAGTCTGTCTTACCTTCTCAATCCTCCAATCACCTTGTTGACTTTTCTGCACATCCCAAGTCAAAAGTTTCAGTATTTACTGTGTATACATAAAGTAATATTTGTATATACAGTGTGTATCATCTTAAAACTGTTGACAACATTACAATAATTAGCTTATACAAACAAACAATTTTCTATAGTCCTAGTAGGGAATTCTGCAAAGCACCAACTTACCAAACATACTGTAAAATCCAACATAGACTAAGAGGGGTAGATCTGTTCATCTCTTCAGTGCTGAACACCCTATCAGTCAAGTAAAAACACAAGAGCACATTTATCACTGCATGAAAACCACTGGATTAAACCAGATGGGGCTCTTAAGTACTGTATGCATTTGAAATATTTTGTAAGTCATGTCACAGATGAAACTCGAGCTTCTCTTCCAGCAAGAATGGACCCTTTGCTGCTGCAATCATTTGTACCAAATGTACTTGGCACAGGCTTTCAGCTTGTAGATAACAAAGCCACGACAGCAGGGAGAGATCTCAAAAACAGCGTTCTAAAGACATGGCGTTACGTAAGATCTGCATAACAACTGCATAATAACATGTTGTTTTTATATGGACTTGGTATAAACGCTGCTTATGTTTTTGACCAAAGAAAACGTTTATTCTTCAGCCAGCTGCCTTTCACCCGAATTTTATTTTAACCTGGCACTACCTCTGTTCTTCCGCATACACGTATACACGCATACAGCCAAAAGAAATAAATTCATCAGGATACAGCCCTGCAACGCAGCAGAGCATCACCCGTTTTTCCTGCTGCTGCCTCCCAAGCTCCTTGGTTAAAGCAGGAGTAAATAAATAAATAAATAGATAGATAGATAGATAAATAAATTAAAAAATGGAAACACCGTGAGGGAAGCCACACGCGTGAGGGAGGCCTGCGGGGTAGGGCAGCTCCCGCCGCTGCCCGCCCGAGCCTCCCCTCAGCCCCACGACCCGCGCCCAGCTCCTTACCGCCCCGCCGCACCCGCCGCCATCTTGTCTCGTCCGCCCCGCGCGGGGGCGGCTGAGGGAGGAGCGCGGGCTGGGGCCGCGAGGAGGAGGAGGAGGGAGGGAGGCCAAGAGCGAGCTGGTGCTGTGCTGCTCTGAGGGTCCAGAATGAGTCTGACACATTTTAATATGTGTATATCAAAGTGGCTTTTTGAATATTTAGGATCAGAAATGATCCTGAGAAGAATGGGTGAAGTCCCAGGAATGGTTTTGAAAGGGAAGTGCCCGGTGGGAGCCAGCACAACCAGCCAAGGGGGCAGGCACAGGAGTACCCTCAGCCTGGTCATGGACCAGGGACCAGCAGCACATCTCATCAGTTGGCAAGCTGACTTGTGATGTGCTACCCACTTGTGGTGTGCCCCTCCACTGTATACAGACAGTTCTTCTGCCTCCCCCTGCTCGCCCTCTGTGTGTTCTTTCCTAATCAAAGGAGTCGGGTGGACTGCCCTTGCCTTTGTGTTCTCAGGCCAAGCCTGGATGCTACCGCAGACAGCATGCTTTGGCCAGGCCACTGGGCCATGTGAGCCCAGAAGGTCTTTGTGGGTGTTTAGACTAGAATTTGCAGCAACGGGAGTCTCACAATGAAATGTTCAGTGAAATGTTCAATGTTCAACCATTTCCTCTGTAACCCTTCACTTTATTCTTTCTTTTTTTTTCCCCCCTCTGGCTACTTTTGTTTTTATAGATACTACTGTTTATCTTTATATACTATTTAGCAACTAAAAAAGCAAACAAACAAAACAAACAAACAAAAAAAAACACTGATTACCATGATACCAGACTTCTTACCACCATCATACTGCTCACTGGATTGTTTGTGTGTTTATTTGTTTGAACATCCTTTTTTGTTGTTGTTTTTGTATTTAGCATGTAACGCCACAGGGCTTGATTAAACACAAAAGCATTTAGCAGTGTCAAATGAGGCGTACCCTTACCGTGAGTCAAATTTATAGTACCAGCTCCTTAACCCCAGGCTATATATTGAGTATTGTGTCCAGTTCTGGGCTACCCAGTGCAAAAGAGACATGAACATGCTGGAAATGGAGTTAAATCTAGTTGGAGGCCAGTCACTAGTGGAGTCCCCCAGGTCTCAGAACTGGGGCCAGTCCTCTTATATATCTTTATCGATGATCTGCATGAGGGGATTGAGTGCACCCTCGGTAAGTGTGCAGACGACACCAAGATACATGCATGTGTCGATCTGCTCGAGGGCAGGAAGGCTCTGCAGGAGGATCTGGATAGGCTGCACCGATGGGCTGAGGTCAACTGCATGAAGTTCAACAAGGCCAAGTGCCGGGTCCTGCACCTGGGGCGCAATAACCCCAAGCAGAGCTACAGGCTGGGAGATGAGTGGTTGGAGCGCTGCCAGGCAGAGAAGGACCTGGGAGTGATGGTGGACAGTCGGCTGAATATGAGCCAGCAGTGTGCTCAGGTGGCCAAGAAGGCCAACACCATCCTGGCTTGTATCAGAAACAGTGTGACCAGCAGGGCTAGGGAGGTGATCGTCCCCCTGTACTCGGCTCTGGTGAGGCCGCACCTCGAGTACTGTGTTCAGTTTTGGGCCCCTCGCTACAAGAAGGACATCGAGGTGCTTGAGCAGGTCTAGAGAAGGGCGATGAAGCTGGAGAACAAGTCCTATAAGGCGTGGCTGAGGGAGCTGGGATTGTTCAGCCTGGAGAAGAGGAGGCTCGGGGGCGACCTTATTGCTCTCTAGAGGTTCCTTAAAGGAGACTGTAGTGAGGTGGGGGTTGGTCTGTTCTCCCATGTACCTGGTGACAGGATGAGCAGGAATGGGCTAAAGTTGCTCCTGGGGAGGTTTAGGTTGGATATTAGGAAAACATCTTTACCGAAAGGGTAAAGTTTTTTGTTTTTAATCAGTCCCAGTTTGTTTCTGGCGGTCAGGTGTGTGACCAGGAGGTAGACAAGCTGACTAGGAAGAAGTTGGCCTAAAGTGAGCTGGGATAGCCGGCCGTGGCAAGGCTGCTGCATGCGAGAAATGTGCAGCAAAGCTAGGAGAGGCGCTTAATTTCCTGGCTAGAAAGCATGGTTCTCTTTGACTTCCAGCAGCGGAGTGGGGCAGCACCCCCAACGGCTGCACCTTGGGTGCGCAGTGCATGTCAGGAAGGGGAATTTCCTCAAGCAGTTCCATCAGAGCAGATGAGGTTTTTGTGTTAAATGTTGTTTCTTCCTTACACATGTGTGGTCCCTTGATGAAAGAGGGAGTACACTGGTTTCCAGAGCCACGCCTGCAGACCCTGGTCTTAGATTAGGACGCGTAATGTGCTTTGAAATTCTCTTGATGCCAGCACCTGAAGAAGCGCAGGCTGCTGCACTCGCTCCTTCTGCAAAAGGCAACCCCCCTTGAGGTTTCCCCAAGAAGGGCAGGAAAGAGCAGCCGATGAGGTTGTGAATCAGAAGCTTTATTTGAGTAACGTTTGAGAGACATGGGGTGCGGTGGGGTGTCACGGAGGCATGCCGAGCTCTCTTTGTCCATAGCTGCGGGGCCTGTGGTTGTGCTTGTAGGACCATGTCAGGGTAGAGGCGGGGTCCCTGTGTGCTTGCTGCTCCTTTGATGGCTGTGGTTGTAGAAAGCTGCAGCAGCCTTCAGGTCAGTGGCCGTGGAGCGACTGGGCAGAGGCAGGAAAGGACAGTGGCAGACCTTGGACTCCTCGGGACTCTGTGATGGGGTGAGAAAGGAAAATGATCAAAAAGAGCAGCCCCAGCCCACGGCCAGGGGCAGGCGCTGCCTCCCTGCGTGAGACACTCCCAGCCCGACAGCAAGGCCATCCTTCCTGTGCATCGCTGACAGCCAAGAGTCAGCTGTGTTAGGCCAGGGCAGTGAGACCATAGAGGTGGGGAATGGGTTGGGGCAATCTTACCTGTCCTGGAGAGCGTTGGCAGCTCTTCCTTCCAGCTGAGTGGTCGTAGCCAGTAAGGGAGGAGAGTGTTGTGGTCTGGTCCCATCGTTGTGTGTTTCTGGCTGAAAGAGAAGAAGCAGCAAATGGAGCAACATCTCCTGTGACCATGGGCAGCCCCTTCCTTTCTGCCCAAGAGTCTCTAGTGTCTCACCGAGCCTGTCTGTGTCCTGTCATGCTGAAGGAGCTCACTGCCATCCTTTCCCGAGCGTGTCATCGTCCTGCTTGCTGTGGACCGGAGTGGGGAATGGTTTGGGACAATCTTACCTGTCCTGGAGAGCGTTGGCAGCTCTTCCTTCCAGCTGAGTGGTGGTGGGCAGAGAGCGGGGAGTGTGCGGTGCTCTGGTACCATCGCTGTGTTACTGGCTGAAAGAGAAGAAGCAGCAAACGCAGCAGCATCCCCCTGTGAGCACGGGCAGCCCCCGCCTCTCTGCCCAAGAGTCTCTAGCGTCTCACCGAGGCTGTCCGTGTCCCATGGTCCTGATGGAGCTGTCCCTGCTGTCCTGGCCCAAGCGTGTCACCTTTCTGCTTGCTGTGGAACGTGGGGGGGGTGGGTTGGGGTGATCTTACCTGTCCTGGAGAGCATTGGCAGCTCTTCCTCCCAGCTGAGTTCTCTCTCAAGGGCAGCGAGACCAGGAGTGTGCCATGGTCTGGTCCCATCGCTGGGTGTCTTTCCAGCTATAAGAGAGGAAGCCAAGAGAGAGCAGCCTTCCCCTGTGGCCAGGAGCAGCCCCTGCCTCCCAGCCTAAGGCTCTCCCAGCCTCACTCCAAGGCCGTCCTTCCCGGATCAGCCACGTTGCGCCCACTTTCCGGGCATTTAGACCGTGGTGTGGAATAGATTGGGGTGATCTTATCTGTCCTGAAGAGCGTTGACTGCTTTTGCAGCTGACTTTTCAAGTGCAGAGAGGCCAGGAGTATGCAGGGCTCTACTCTCATTCCTGTCTCTGCCGGCCTTTAAGAAGAGAAGGAACAAACCGAGCAGCACCTCCCTGTGCCCACGAGCTGCCCCAGCCTCTCTGACTGAGGGACTCCAGCAACTCACCACGTCCGTCCGTCTCTCGTCATCGTGATGGAGCGCTCCTGCCTTCCTGGCCCGATCATGTCACCTTCCTGCTTGCTGCGGACCATGGTGGGGGTGGCTTGGGGCAATCTTACCTGTCCTGGAGAGCGTTGGCAGCTCTTCCTTCCAGCTGAGTGGTCGAGGGCCGTGAGGGGGTAGTGTGCTATGGTCTGGTCCCATCGCTGTGTGATTGTGGCTGAAAGAGAAGAAGCACCAAACAGAGCAGCATCCCCCTGTGAGCACGGGCTGCTGCCCCCTCTCTGCCCGAGGGTCTCCAGCATCTCACCACGTCCGTCCATCTCCAGTCATCCTAATGGAGCATCACTGCCTTCCTGTCCTGAGCATGTCCGTCTTCTGCTTGCTGTGAGATCATGCTGGGGTGTGGGTTGGGGCAATCATACCTGTCCTGGAGAGCGTTGGCAGCTCTTCCTTCCAGCTGAGTGGTCGTGGCCAGTAAGGGAGGAGAGTGTTGTGGTCTGGTCCCATCATTGTGTGTTTCTGGCTGAAAGAGAAGAAGCAGCAAACGGAGCAGCATCCCCTGTGACCATGGGCAGCCCCTTCCTTTCTGCCCAAGAGTCTCTAGTGTCTCACCGAGCCTGTCTGTGTCCTGTCATGCTGAAGGAGCTCACTGCCATCCTTTCCCGAGCGTGTCATCGTCCTGCTTGCTGTGGACCGGAGTGGGGAATGGTTTGGGGCAATCTTACCTGTCCTGGAGAGCGTTGGCAGCTCTTCCTTCCAGCTGAGTGGTGGTGGGCAGAGAGCGGGGAGTGTGCGGTGCTCTGGTGCCATCGCTGTGTTACTGGCTGAAAGAGAAGAAGCAGCAAACACAGCAGCATCCCCCTGTGAGCACGGGCAGCCCCCGCCTCTCTGCCCGAGGGTCTCTAGAGTCTCACCGAGGCTGTCCGTGTCCCGTCGTCCTGATGGAGCTGTCCCTGCCATCCTGGCCTGATCCTGTCAGCTGGCTGCCTGCTATGGGAGCGTGGGAGGGTGTGGGTCGGGGTGATGTTACCTGTCCTGGAGAGCGTGGACAACTGTCCGGCCCCGTGCTGGGAAGGAGCGGCCAGGAGCGTGCGGT